CCATTCATCGCCAACTTGCTATTGCTCAATGGGATAAAATGATAAGGGTGTTTGTTTTCGAATATTCGCACGAGCGTGAGCGCGTGCACGTGTTCGACAACGCGGGGTGAAGTTTCGTATTGCAGCCACGTTCTCTTTTACACTAGTTAGTCACTAGCGCGTGACGCAGTCATCAACACATCCACTTCATCCGTAGATAAAGCGCCGGAAATGGTATTTTTTATGAGCCGGTACGTGTTTTGGCGTATAAAACCGCTGCGTTGCGGTTCAAATTCGGTGGATAGATGACACATAAGAAGCATGTAACATAGAAATAGCTTATGCGATTTCATCTGTCTATTTGACCAACTTTGTTTCTTTCCGTCTTCGATATATAGTCCCTTGGACTTTGAAGACTAATATTTACGAGGTTACGATGTTATGCGTTTGTAATGAAATTCGTTACGCAGTTAGTCTGCGTGCAGACACGCACGTGCATGAGTGCCCATCCCAACTCAAAAGTCGATTTTTATCAGGACATCTCCGGTGCTTGTGTTATTTAGCAGTAGGGCCTACATGAGATGGAGAAAAACACGGATGATAGGTGATGTTGCTGGGTGGATAAACAGATAAAGATAGAAAAGCGCTTCCTGAGTTCACCTCCCTGTTCACGTCTGCCCGCCCCCGCTCTCTTGCTCACGCACACACACACACACACACACACACATACACACACACACACACACACACACGCACACGCACACATACACGTACACACACCACGCGCACTACATATTGCCCATAATTAGGACGTTTTAATTATTAATTCACGTGATGGATTTTTAAAGCGGGCCTACTTACCGCAGTTGGTAGTACAACTAAACAAGATTTTCAAATAGGTAGCAATAAAATGTAAATTGTTTACCAATGTGTTAGTGCAAGTGCGACCCATCTCTGCTCTAGGCACACGAACTTTGGCGGTCCCGGGCGAATTATTTACAGTAATTTGTTATATTTATAAAGCTCTATATCTGGTGGATCAGATGATATCAATGTACTGCAAACACCACAGCTAAAAGCGCGCTTGCAATACAATGAAACAATCGAAGATTAATCATCTGCAGTAAACACTATATTACGATAAAACAGGAGCACGGTCCCAAAGCTCTGCGTATTCAATCAAATTTGCATTCGTAATCGGGAGAAGTAGAACCAACCGTCCTATAGTCCGTCGTACGTGACTGCTTACCCCCTCCCCCCCGACCTTTCACCGCATGTCGCAACCACGGGTTATATGCACCGATAAACTGACCAGTAAATAGGTTTAGTGAAAATGTGAGAAACATGCGTTCAGCTATTTTTTTAGTAATCATGTACCCAACATTTATTGTAATTTTTACCATCCTATATTTGTTAGCGCGTATAACGCACCGGTTCACCGTGTACACTAACGTTAATAATAATTATTGTTGTTGTTGTTGTTGTTGTGGTTGTTGTTGTGGTTGTTGTTGATGATGATGATGAATTTGATGTTGTAAATATAATTCAATATCTAATAAGATACATTACTTAACGTCTGGAATCTGTACCGCAAAATATAATACTGATCCGATTCAACCATACTTGGCGTGTTGAATCTGTGGACAGCTAGAATGAATTTAAGTAAAAATTTAGGTAATTAACTATTTTTAATGCCTGACTTTCTTACGTCAAAGAACTTGGATACAATTTTTTACTCGTTATTGATACAACTATTTGATTTATTTTCTCACAAGGGGCTCCAGTGTAGCACACTAGGCTAAGGTATTGAATATCAACTAAATATTATTATATTAGACAGATAGATATACTGGCCATTCGCGAGTCCGCTATGCTACACAGAAATATGCCACGACTAGTGAGGGATGCGGGCAGATAGAAATGTTTCCGCTCAATTTACCGCAGATTAATGCATTTAAGATAGCAGCTTTACCATCAATAAACAAATTTCCACGATTTTGACGTTGCACATTTACAATATTTATCTAGATTTTGCTTGTATTATCGGCATTAATAAAGGAGGCTAACTATAGTTAATCATTAAAAAAAATCTATGCTAGAGGATTTTTTTTGCCTATCTTTAAGTGGCACCTTCGTTCCCGCTCCCCGTTTTAACGGAAGCAAAGGAGCCACACGGGTAGAGCTACACTATAAAACATCCATGACAGTGTATTCTTTGCCTAGCCTTACGCGTGTGGCACCTTCGCTCCTACTCCATGTGTAGCGGAAGCAAAGGAGCCACACGGGTAGAGCTACACTATAAATAAAATCCATGCTAGTGAATTTTTGCCTAACTTTGCATGATTGCTCGCGCTAGGCATGGGGACGATGGGGGCTACACTGGTATAGAGCTACTCTTTGCATATCGTACTTGCTGCACGAATCTTCTATACTTTGCTATGAACGGACGTCTATAATGCATGCATGGACATTGCGGTGACATGCAGTGAGTGGAGTATAGTCAAGCAATGAACGCCTGTAAACTACCTGCCCACCCAGCTACCAATATCACACTGCCACGCGCGGCTGCATGACGAAATCCAACTATATGTGACATTTGCAAAAAACTTAGTTAGAAAGTAGACGTTAGGTAGTTTAATCTCGATACACGCGCCTTCTCGTGGCGAGGGCAGATATGTCTGGAGGAGGGCCACGCCTGTAAATCCTGCTTGTGCACTAGTAGTGCTCGTGCTCACTATCCCCCCCCCTCCCCCCATCGTGGCCTATCGCCTGTCTGCATGCGCTTAAAAGGAGAAGCGTGTCTACCGCTAAGGGTAATCCGTGGTTCGTATTTCAGATGAAGAACATCTAGTACAGACCTCAGTGTGATCACCGTCACCATTTACTTCAATTCTCTCTCTTACACACACACTCACACAAGCTTCACTACCAGAACGAAAATGATGCTGAAACTCGTCGTCCTGCTGACGCTTGGAGCTCTCGCCTCGGCCAAGCGGAGAGACTGTAAGTATCACTTACTAAACTAATCTGTACCTAAATAAAATAGTCGTCGTCTATTGGCTGATGCCACTCGAAGAAGTGCAGAACAGACGCAGAATGTGTGCAGAACTCGTTCGGCATGTATACGGCATTGGTCGTCAATGGCAAATTGGCGTCTTAATGCGCGTACGCGCATACGCACACGTCCTGGCGTTCTTCGCCTATTGAGTCCCAATGGGGTTAGTAAATTGTCACGTCGTATAAAGCGTATTCTGTTCGATTTAGGTAGTTTCAGCTATGGTTTCAGCTAAGCCTACGTAGAGTAGCTTATGTTTTAGAGTAACTATGGTTTTCGTCAGGGCGTGCGCCATGCAGTGAATCTATAGAGTCTCCGTGAAGTCTACGAAAGTTATCACTAGGATCAAGAAGTCAATCATGAAAACTGGGCTTGTCTATGTTTTCTCGAATGAGGTCAATAGTTTTAAATCTGTTTCATCGAGCACGCACTACGCGTGCCTGGGTGGCCGCCATGTTGTTGGGTTAGCCAATCAGGAGTCAGCTGACACGCGTAGCACTTTGCCCTCTGCGCAAACATTTAATACTTCCCAAGGATTCGGCGACTCCGTATCTTTTGCCAATTTGGTGAACATTAGTCTGACAATTAACCAGTTTTTCCGCGTGGAAGCATACGGGCGCGCACACACACACGCACACATATAATATATTATATTATATTATACCTGATAAATATTTTCACGCAGCTAGAATCGCAGCCGAGTTGCATTAGTCGCAAGTCTGCGGGAACGTGCAACTGCAACTCGTCCTTGTACAGTTTCATCTACTTTATTAAAGGCGTAACACGTGTACAAAGTTTCATTGTAGGCCTAACATTAATAATACGGCGATGAGTATTCCAAACGTATGCATGCTTTGTTCTTGCGGCGATATGCTTAATCTAAACGGGATCTAAACTTACGCTAAAGGATACATTTGCGTTGATAAAGTGTCATGAAGGTAGCAATTTTAAATTCGTCGCAAACTAAATAGTGAGCAGCACTGCACGCGCCATTTTTATTATTATTATTATGCTGGTAGGTAGAGTGAAATTCACATATATATGAGATGTAATCTCGGCAAAACCTAAGTCGTGGTTTATAATCACGTTATATGCTTGTCCAGATGCTCGGTACAGATTTGTGCGTACCACGTTGTTAAGAAACGAACTCCTACTACAATTATTTTTTACGGAGTGTAGGGAGAAAACTATTGCTATATATGTATATCAGGAGTAGATCCTGATGTATATATATCTACGTTGCTTGACGGCGCATTGGAATCGGTTGGAATTGACTGCCTTGCAGCTTTACCGGTAGATGGCACTGCGCCTCGGTCCTCAGACGAACTTGCATTAAATTATTTCAGGTTCATGTCGACTATGTACTCGCCAAGGCCAGTGTCAGCACGCTCGAACTTGGTGGCCATCGTGGAGAGCTCCTCCATGGCGTCGTACTGCTCGTAGAGGAACACGCTCTCGACAAAGTCTAGCAGCTAAAACACGGGGATATATAACGATGTAGTGTAATATTCCGTTATAGACACAAGCGCAGACGCTAACGCACGCACACAGACGAGCACATACACACACGCGCGCGCGCACACACACACCGCACACACGCGCACATACGCACGCACGCACGCACATACACGCACACACACACGCACACACACGCACACGCGCACACGCGCACAGCAACAACAACAACAACAACAAACAACACAACACACGTAATTATAGTAAACTGGAGAACATTTCGTTTTTTTTAAATCCGAAATCAGTGAATAAATATTTGCGAGATGTAAAACACTTCAGCGCGCGTTCGTCGCATCGTGCGACGAGCCTGTCTCTGCGTTAGATACAATAATGTAACCCAACAAGAGTAGGAGAACAAAGTTAGAAAGCACAAGAAAGAAGGGCGTAGAAGAACAAAACCCCCTATACTCTTGTAGGGTTTCATTCTACCTCTGCGCGTGTGGATACGTACATGAGGGTCGTTCCTGGCCTGCGCCTTGCTGTGAATGTTAAGGAAGCTAGCAAGGACTTCCTTCTCCAGCTGAAGTGCCTTCAGGACGGCGTCAGTGGCTTCCCATACCGTGTTCTCTGGAGCCTGCAGAAAAACGATGAAGGAAACTGACCGGATGTGTCTCTCAGAGTAAATAGTAGCACGCGGTATAGCGTTCAATGATCAACTCAGTTCTACGTGTTTTCACAAATATCGAGACGAGAGTTGCTAACGTTACTGCGCTTTATATAACGAGTGTGCTTCACAGTAAACAATGAAATGGAGCTATCAGGTTCTCTCTCCATTCGCAAAGAACAACCTCAACAAACGGGAACCTCACTCATCGATCACGATCATGTGTATAAGACCCATGTAGATATGAAAATAAATATAGAAAAATAGAATAGGGTGTTAAATTTTAATAAATTCTCGAAAGCTCGCTTATTAAAATTGAACATCCTATTCTATTTTTCTACATTCATATATATATATATATATCAGGAGCGT